GACTGGTGTTGATCTAGGTGGTCTTACACTGCAACCTGGTATGTATAAATTTGCCAGTACAGCATCAATAGCTGCACCCAGTGCTCAGTTGACATTAAGTGGTTCGGGAGTGTTCATATTTCAAATTGGTAGTGCATTAGGAACATCGCTTAACAGTCAGATTGTGCTGGTAAATGGTGCATTACCACAGTGTGTGTTTTGGTTGATTGGAAGTAGTGCAGTATTGGGCAGTGGCTGTAAATTTCAAGGTATCCTAATGGCATCAGCGTCGATTGGATTTATGGATGGTGCCTCACTGGTTGGTGCAGCCTATGCACAAAACGCAGCTGTAACACTAATTAATAGCGTTATCACCGTTCCGCCAGCATGTAATCTATAAATTATTTGATCCTCTTCATTTCTTTATCCACAGTTGTTGTTGCATCGCGTCGTGAATACAAAGTAGGTACATCAGTCTTGAATTAATTCGCCTTAAAGTGGTTTAAACATTCTTTAGATATGTGCTTCAACTACTGAAGAAGAGTGACATTGGAGATCTCATTGAAGGAAACAACAGCACAGAATTATTATTTATTACATAAATTATTTGAAAATAAACAGTTTTCAGAGTGTCACATGTGTTATGTCAGTCGTCACTGACATTCCTTCCTCTCTCCATTTCTTATGATCACAAAGAATGTTGACTCAGTTCTTCTAGAGTCAACATTCGTTCTTCATCTATTTAGAGTGTCTGTTTGTACACACCGAGTTAGTTTTTTTGTTTTGATGTGTTTGTGACTTTTATTCCTCGAATAAACTTCACTGACAGGCTAGCAATATTTTTGTTTTTATGCCTTTTTTGATATGAATATATGTAATATAGTTATTTCGAATAAATTTATATTTTTAATAGAAATGTACGGTTGGTCCTTTTAAGAGAGGATACAGTTACTTTGGACATTGAACAGTTAAACCTCCTAGGTAAGAGCAGTTTCTCGCTGTGTGTACACCATTAATAAACTTTTCGTTGGAAAAAAACGCCTGACTTTTTGTTCATAGGTTAAATGTTTTAAAACCTAAATAACGAACGGTTTCTGATCAGTCCCACTAGTTATCTTCTCAGAAATATATACGGCCATTTTCCTGCAGACATTTGAGTACATGGATATATAGCTTAATGTACAGCCATTGAACCGTGAAGGTTTT